ATTTTAGATTTTGGAATAAATATTATAATAAAACAAAAATTTTTTTTTGCTCTATTCTCTATCATTTTCGTAGTGTCCGAAATTTCACACTAAATTGTATCATAGAATTCATTTTTATACTCTGATTTATTCTAAGGTTTTACTATCTGATTGTTTGACTTGGATTCAGTTTGACGACATTTTTTTAAATGAATCCCATTAAGATGGAAAGAAAGAATAATTCTCCTTGACATAAGTTTTTTTCTTTACTAAGAACAAAATAACCTTCTCAATATGGGAATTGCCAAAGAAAGAAATTCTTTGGTAGATATATAAGCTAACGCATGGATCGACGAAGGTCTATACTTCTATTCTTCATTTACTAAATATTAATACTATTGTGAATAATAACTTTTATATTTTAAAATGATATAAACTCCTAGGAAACCAAGTTTATTGTATTTACCTATTTTATAAATATTATTATTACTCATAATTATCTTAAATTATAATAAATTTATATTACTATGTTTATATCATCACTTCAGTTTCACTTCATCGTTTCATTTCCTATCTTAATTCTAATTCTATCTTATTCTGGTAATTATTCTATATAGGTAATTTAACTATGATTTTAATGTATGTATATATTAAGATAGTTTCAATTACAATTGAGAAAAAATGTTCAATAGATGATGATTGTGATCTTGAATTAATGTGTAATATTGAAAGTCATACTTGTACATGTCCTCAACCATATTTTTGGCATGAAGATATTCATGCTTGTTATGGTTGTGCTCCTGGTTGGTTAAAGCTACAAACAAATAAATGTCTTCTATTTGCTATCAGTAATTCATCAGGTGTTACATGGTATAAAGCTAAGAAAACTTGCAAATCATTGATTGCTCAACCATTGATGATTAATAATATCCATGAATTTATAGCTTTGCAAAATCTAATTGAATATTTATTAAATGGAAATGATGAATTAATTGCTAGTCTTTATTTTTATCAAGGTGCATGGGTGAGAATAAATAATAGTTAGTATCAATATGTTTAATTAAATTAATTTTCTTATAAGAGAATTGAATTCTACATATACATTCTAGAAGAGAAATCGAAATTGAGTCGACAATTTTAGTCATTTGGAGTAGTTTTTAAAAAATTTTTTCTAAATCTAATCATATCAAAACACGTTTACTTAATGAAAAGAATAATCAGAAAAACATTACTTCCAATCATTTGTCTTTTTTTTTCCGGTTCATTTTAATACGATCTGTATTAATCTGATGATTCCAGTTGATCAAACAAAACTAATACTTATTGTTTTAGTCGTTAATTATTTTCTTGATTCATTTTAATTTCGGTTTTTGTTTTTAGAATGGTCAGAATTATATACATGGTGTAATAATGATGAAAAAGAAGATTTTTTTGATTGTATACAAATACGACAAAATAGTATAACAAATACTATCTGTCTTCAATATGTATCATGTATTCAACAATCTCAGTATATATGTGAAGGTTAATTTATTCTTATTAAACATAAAAAAAGAATATAATTCTTATATTTAGCATCACCTCTCATTCAATCTAAATTAGAAACAAATAAAGCTGAGATAGAACGTTCAGAGATAAACCTTAGAGCTAAAGTACCAGCTGTAACGACTAAACGTACTACTTTACGAACAACTATAAAAACAACTGCAAAAACAACAACAACAACCAAAAAGACTGGTTCGAATGTTAATAATGTTGTAGATGCTCTCACAGGTGGAATTAATGCTGCCGGTCAAATTTCTAATGCATTAGGAAATTCATTAAGTAAAAAATAAATATACGAAAATTCTACTAATCATATGATATTATATATATATATTTCTTTTTCAATCTAGTTGGAAATACAAATCAAAATCAATTGCAGTCAAATGGTGAATAAAATGAATTTTTTTTTATTCGTAAGATAGATACAGATTAAATTTACTAACAAAAAAAAATTCTCCAACAGATTAATCATTTTTGAATCGAGACTATCTGCATCATATAAAACTTGCTGAGGTATAAATACTCTAAAAAAGAATAATTATATCTTCAGATACATACAATAAGTTTCTTAAAGTCAAATTTTTCTGACGATCATGAAGGAGATCGCAGCATCTAGTCAAAAAATACTTTACTACTACCAGTAACTTCAAGCAATTATTTTTCTCGTGATCTTTCTATATAGATCCCGTTATACGTTTTAATATCAAACATACTTTTAATTGATAAATTTCAGTAGCTTCTTATTGTTGAAGTATCTCTGCAGCGATAAGCTAAAAGTTCGAACTTTTTTTTAAGAGTATTCATAGTATTATATTTTCATAGACTTTAAATCATTTAATTGATATTTTACTTTGTTTAATAGTAATAGAAAATACCAATAATATCAATGACCAACAATCAGTACTTGGTCTTTCATCTTCTGGTATGTACAAATCTTTTCTTTTTTCACCTTTTATTCATTAATACATTCGTATAGGTGATGACAATTCAAATAAAGGCTTGAACAATATTCTACTTTATGGTGGTATTACTATTGGTATTATTACATTAATAATCATAACAATCATTGTAATTTATTGTATATCAAAAAACAAAAATTCTTCAAATAGTAGAACAAGTTTTACAAGTGTTGTTAGTCAAGAATAAAAATATTTCTTTTTGTCAGACATATATCTTTCATCAATAAAATTTATTGGCATACATATATAGTTAGCATCATCAAATGATAATCATATAGTTCCTCTATTTGTTGTTGATTGATAGCAGACATGTCGCAAGTATTTCGAGAGGTCACCTATCTATCTATCTGTATGTATAAGCAACTCTCGCGACAATAATTCTCGTTGGTTACTTAATAATACAATCAATAAGAATGTTCGCTAGAATCAATAATATATAAAAAACGAATGTGGCGCTAAAATGATAATAACAATGGCATCAAATACAATCTATCTGTTCAATATGTTCAATTAATCCATATACGGATATGTCCTTTGTTTGTATACATATGACGATTAAAAAATTATAATGAAAGCAGCTGAAATTAAATCTTATCTTGAAGAAAAATATGCATTTCTCAGTGGTATATAATAATAATAATTTATGTTTATTACTTTTAATATGTATATTTTTTTTTAGGAGCTATTGATAAGAAAGGTTATTTAATAATAACATTTCCAAGTTCATCATCTATTGAAAAATTATCTGGTGAAGAATTAAAAAAACTTCTTATTTATTTAGCATCAATTAAGTAAATAAAAATTAAATTGTAAATTATCTTTTTTTTTTGTTTTTTTATCTTGATTAGTTCATCAAATGGTGATCCAAGATTTACTTTTATTGTTGATATGCGACAACGTACATGGGAAAATTGTAAACATATATTTAAAGTTCTACAAGTTTGTGATAATAAGAAATAAATTTAATCATTAATTTTCTTTTCTCGAAAATTTTAGGAACAATTTCCATATAAAATTGAACATGTATATATTGTTAAACCGGATGGATTTTGGGATAAACATAAAATATCACTTGGCATGTCGAAATATACATTTGAAGTATGAATAAAAAAAAAGATATTATCATTGAACCGATGTTTTTTCATCGGAAAGGGTTTTTTTTTTTTTGTTGACTCGTCGAGTTCTTCTCCTTAGAACTTTCAAAATGTCTTTTTGCGATGATTATGAATAATGTATTGAAAATTGATCATATAGAGTTTTATAATAGGTCTACAAAGAATGAAATAAATGATCCAAAAAAAAACTGAAAGAAAAGACTTAATGATAGTTGAAAAATATTCAAACTGTTCGATTTGAACTCGGATCTATAGTTCGAGTGTGCTGTAAACCTACTTGATAAATTATTCGTATGGATAAAAAAATTTTCAATCGTATTATAATACTTTTTTTTAGCATTCAGTTGAATCACTTGAAAGTTTAACTTATGCTATTGATCGTAATCAGTTAACATCAGATTTAAATGGAATATTTCCATATAATCATATTCATTGGTTAGATTTTCGTTTAGTAAGTTAAATAATCAAAAAAAAAAATGAACAAGATTTTTTATTTTTTTATTTTCATCAATTAAGAATTTAGAATCATTTGTATATAATTCAAAAGAAACATTACATGCATATGAATTACTTTATAATGAATTACAACAAACTGATCTATCAAATAATGTTATTCGAGCACAAGATGCTATTGAAACACATATGACAGTATTTAAAGATCAATTATCACGTGTTAATATTGAACCATTAATAAATGATGGACAACATTTATTAAATATGTTAAAAGGAAATAATTTAGAAAATGAAAATTTAATATTAAAAACACATCAACAACGAACATATCCATTAGATTATTTTGATGAAGCAAGAAAAATTTCATTAGTAAGATAAATACAAAAAAATTAAAAACAAAAAAAAATTATTTTTTTTTCGCCCTCCCCTCTAAGGTTATGGATAATCTTCGTTCAGCAAAAGAACGATGTTTTCAATTATGGCATCAAAAAAAAAATCGTTTAGAACAAAATTTACAATTAAGATTATTTGAACAAGATTGTGATCGAGTAAATATGATATTTAATCAAAAACATTAGTTTTTCTATTAACAAATGGACTTATTTTATGAAATATGAAAGAGTATAGAAGTAGAAATTTTCACCCATCATAGCCGTAAGGTTAAATATTCACTATGGAATTAGTATAAGAAGTATTCTTCACTTTTTTTTTTGTTCACACTCACTGCAATAATAGTAAAGAGAAATTCATAAACTAAAACATCTATTGATTAATTTTCGCTTTTACAATACTAATAGCTGTATCATGTTTCATAGCTTAATCCCCTAGGGATCACACTAAAAGCTTCTTTTTTTTAAATCATTAATATGTTGAAGTTTTCTGAACAAATTCATATTGTTTATAATAGAATACAATGAGTAATAAGACATATATCTATGATATAAATTTACGTATCAAACAATAATAGTCAAGGGAATAATTATATTATGTTTTCATAAAATCAACGCTAAAAGTCTCGCACCACTTTTTTTGTTTTAGTTCGTATTTCAAAACTATACGACATATATATTCAATATTCTTTTTATCTTCGGATAGCGGAGCTCGAGTATTATATGTTTGAAATGAATAATCATTGAATCTGAAATACAAGAAAAAAAAAGACAAGCTGATATGACTGTTATGATTTTGAGTAAGATGTCAGTAATGCGAAAATCGAATAAGATTTTGTTTGATATTTTTACATGAATCGATAGATCTCGAAGAGCTCTACAAAACTGTCTATATTAAAAATTTTATGAACCCTTTTCTGGGACAAAAAAAAAAATACAAAATAATCGCATGTTTTATTTGTTCTATATGAAAAGTCGAGAATTTTTTTTTATACTAGAAAAGCATCAAAATACGATTTTCTTGTAATATTTTGTCCCACAAAAAGGGGTTCTAATAAATTATAATATAGACAGTTTTGTAGAGCTCGTCGAGATCTATCGACTCATGTAAAAATATCAAACAAAACCTTAGTGGAACTTCTAAAACTTATAATAACCATACCATTTTGTCTTTTTTTTTGGGTAGTTTTTGTTGCAGTACTGAACTTTGTTTTTTTTCTTCTTCCTGTGTTTTCAATTCAAGGGTTGTTCATTTCAAACATATACATACATATAGTACTTAAGCTCCGTTATCCGAAGATAAAAACAAAATTGAATCTATGTCGTGTATTTTTGAAATGCGAACCAAAACAAAAAGGTAGCGCGAGACTTTTGAGGTCCACTGTAATAGAATTTGAAAATTTCAGCCAAAGAGAATGTTTCTTCGTCAGGATATTGAATTATTGAAAAACTAATCCTTTGTAATAAAAAAATTTTATATCGATCTTTAAACAAAAGTTTGGAACATAAATTCAGTAAATAAAAGTTCAAACAATAGAAAACCTATATTTCACTTTCATCTATGATATATCATAAGAAAAATTTTTTTATTTATTAAAGTTATGTGCATGGATTGGAAATAGTCGTTTGATTCTTGGACCAAAATATACTGATATTGGTTCAAGTTGTTCACAAGCAATGCAACTTTTAGCTGAACATGAACAATTTGCTAAAGTTTGTTTAGTAAGTTAATTGAATTAAAATTATAATATAATTAAATATAAAATTTAGAATAATGAAACAGTTATACGTCGAACACAAAATGTTGGTGATCGACTTATATCAAGTGGACATTATGCAACAAATGCTATTAAAAATCAAATGAATCGTTTAAATGATGAATGGGAAAGTTTAACACGATTACTTGATAATCGTACAAATATATTAACAGCTTCACTTCAATTTCATCAAAAAGCTGATGAAGTAAAACTAAAAAATTTTTTTTTTGAAAAAAAAGTCTTTTTTATTTTTATTTATAGTATCTTGTACAAGTACCAACATGGAAACATTTATGTTCATTAACAGATGATTTAACAACAATTGAAAGTATGGAACATTTAGAACGTTTACTTCAACAACATTTTAATTTATCAGAAAATATTTCAAGAATTTATGCTCAAGTATGTTTAATCTTTAATCGAATTAACATTCGAATAGCTTAGGAATATTTTTACTAACTGTGATTATTAATAGCTATATCATGAAGTTCTTTTGAGAAGCATTTTTTTCCTGCGTTGTTAATCAGTTCTTAGGTATAAAAAACTGAGAGCTCTATATAACTTAAAGAATGACCCCTGTTTAAGTATATCTATGAGCTTCGAGTACTTAGAAATAATGTTTTCAATGATATATTAACCGATGACATTATCTATTTTAATAGTAATGATATAAACAGAAGAAAAAAAAAGACATGATAATTAGAGTGTAGGTACAAAGAACAACCATGTCTGCACCGCCCTAGATACTATGTATTATTATCTTACATTACATACATAGTTCATAAAAACTACAAATTGAAATTCAAAATTTTAATATATATAGGGATTAATATTTAATAGAAAAAGAAAGTTATTTATCTTAGTTTCATTCATTATTATATTGTCAAACTCTTTACTATAAACGTGTATACATAAAGTTTTTTTTTCGTTAATAGATTTGTAATGATGGTAAAGCAATAATTGATTCTGTAGCACCATCACAACAGACAACAACTGATTATCAATTTGATTTTCGTGCTGGTGCTAAACATATTCTTGAAATTGTTCAAGAAGTAAAATTCTATTTTTTTTTTTTTTACAAATCATTGTGTTTCTTTTTTTTTTTTATTAGATTTTAGTTAATCATCGATATCTTGATGCTAAATGGAATCAACGTAAAGCATATTTACAACAAAGACTTAGTTTTGTTGCATTTGCTAATGATGTTCAACAGGTAAATTACTGTTTTTTTTTTTTGTTAAAAAAAATATTTATATTTTAGATTCTTGATTGGATTGAAAAACATGGTGATGCTTTTTTACAAAAAAATCTTGCTGTTGGTATTGGAAAATCACTTCGACAAGCAAAAAAACTTGATAAAATGCATACAGATTTTGAAATGGCTATTAAAGTTTGATATTAATTTTTCTCTTTTTTTTTTATCAGAAATTTTATTATTTTAATAGAATACAAAAACTAATGCAGAAAATTTAA